TCTATCCTGGCGCCATTTACACTTATGCGAATTTCTTCTCGGGTAACTTCAGGGCATTGGAAACAAGCAGAAACCCCATCAATATCTCGACAGATAATATTGCTAACAGCACCGGAAGTGTATACGAAGAAGTACAGAACCCAACGGCTGACAATATAAGAGCAAAGATCGCTAACATGATCCGCTCCTTCTCCACAACTACCGGAAGTTCGGGTATACAATACCGCGTATTTACATCTGACAATGACGCAGATCTTTCCATCAAGTTATCGGCAGCAGGTGGTTACGCCGGGTTTAAGGCATCGGCCGGTTTCGAGTCGGAGCAGACGGAGAAGAAATACTATCTCACGATCGATGCGATCAAGCCGTTGTACACGCTGATTTCATCCGTTCCTTCCAACGGCTATTTCTCGGATAAATCAATCGAGGCGAACAATCAAAACCTCATCGTTTTAAAGAGTGTTACTTATGGCAGCAGGGTGTTAGCTAACCTGGAAATTACGTTGCAAACACAGAAAGACGCGATCGATTTCAAAGCCAGTTTCGGCGCTGACAGCGGTAAAGGAATATCCGCAAACGCTTCAGCCACCTTCAACTACCTTAAAACTGCAAAAAACGCATCCACAACGGCTAATGTTTACATAGTCGGTGGACCGTTAAACACGACACTTTTTGAAACAGACAAGTTGCAGCAGCAAATCACGGAGCTGATTGCCAGGTGCAATTACCAGACTGCCCAACCTATCGCCTATTCATTTACTGATATCAATGGAAATGTACTTGGCATCGAGTCATCAACGGACAAGTTTACGACCACCAAATGTGTTCCATCGGGTTCTGTGTATAAACTGGTTGCGGCTACTGTGCAGATCTATACGGGTAAAGACAACAAGGAGCAGGGCTCTAACGCATCCGTAACGCTTGTTAATTCAGATAATGTAGCAGTTTTTGAAAGCACCAGTAACAATATTGAATTCCGAAGTCAAAACGATATCGCATTAAGCGCCCGGAGTATTCCGGATGATTACATGCTTGAATCAAACTTTTCACGGAATGGTGGATACGTGGACATCTTTTTTACTCCCAAACCCATATTCCTGGATTTTGATGCCTGGAATATTAACAGTGCGGTACTTACGCTGACCTTCAAAGATCAAAACGGAGCGCTCGATACGCGTCAGAT